TTTTGCTTTTTGTCATTGCCTTTTTGTTTTGTTTTCTTTAGTTGCTTTGTTTTGCTTCGTCTTGTTTTTGTGCATGCTATTATCTCTGCAGGTCTGTCTAAATAAGATAGGCTGGGTGAACAATCTGGAGGAGAAAACAACAGGACCGACAGTTCCGGGGGCACATGAGAGAGTGGGAGGTGGGGGAAAAGGTAGTGGTTTTAACAAACCCAGGGACCAGGGAACAACAAGTGATCCAAATCGGTGGTGAGGAGGGTGTAGGAGGCCTGGTAGGGTGTGACCAAGAGGAATTACTGAAACCCTAATGAAGGCTGAGCATGTTAGTGGAACAAGAGGAAAGTTAAAGGAAATAGAGGAAAGAGCTAGGAGGTAAAGGGCATTTATAGAGGTCTAAATAAAGGCATGTATGTAAATTATGTAAATATAATATGATGAAGGGGAAATAGATCTATGTGCATATATGTGTAGATTTTGTATTAAGGTAGCAGATGAACACTGGGCCTCCACTCAAGTACTCCCGCAATGCAAGAATACTTTGTTCTATTAAACTGGCATTCCATGATGCTCACCTTCCCTACACAATCGCTGAAGACAAAGTGGGTGCATAAGCAAATGTGGTGAAGAAAGCTGATGGTGCCTGGCTATCTAAAGATAAAGTGTCCGGGGTCTTAAAGGCTTGAAAGTAAACAAGCGGCTATCTAGTTCAGAAGCAACAAAACCCACATGGAAGAAGCACAGCAGCCTGCGTCATCACGAGGTGCCAAAGGGATCAGTTATCAGGCATCAAAGAACAAAAAATCATATCACTGTGCTCACCTCCCTGATATGATTGCTGAAGAACAATGGGAGCATACGCAAATGTGGCGAAGAAAGCTGATGGTGCCCGGCTATCAAAAGATGTAGCATCTGGGGTCTTGAAGGTAAACAAGTGGCCATCTAGCTGAGAAGCAATAAAGGCCACATGGAAGAAGCACACCAGCCTGTGCAGTCATGAGGTGTCAAAGGGATCAAGTATCAGGCATCATCTAAACAAAAAATCATATCATTGTGAATGAGGGGGAGTGAGGGGTGGAGACCCAAATCCCATCTCTAGGCAATTGGACATCCCCTTACGGAAGGGTCGTGGGGAGGAGACGAGCCAGTCAAGGTGCAGTGTAGCAACGATGAAACATACAACTCTCCTCTAGTTCCTAAATGCTTCCCCCCCACCACCATTACCATGATCCCAATTCTACCTTACAAATCTGGCTAGATCAAAGGATGTTCACTGGTACAGCTAGAACTGAAACACAGGGAATCCGGGGTGGATGATCCCTTCAGGACCAGTGGTAAGATTGGGGATTCTGGGAGTGGGGTGAAAAGGGGGGATTGATAATAAGGATCTACATATAACCTCCTCCCTGGGGGATAGACAAAAGAAAAGTGGGTGAAGGGAGATGTCGGACAGTGCAAGATATGACAAAATAATTATTTATAAATTATCAAGGGTTCATGAGGGAAGGGGGATTGGGGAGGGAGGGGGAAAATGAGCTGATGCCAGGGGCTTAAGTGGAGAGCAAATGATGAGGGGAATGAATGTCCAAATGTGCTTTATACAATTGATGTATGTATGGATTGTGATGCGTTGTATGAGCCCTTAATAAAATGATTTATAAAATAAAATAAAAGTGTGGTGAAATTATGTAACTCTGAAACAGACCTTTCCTGATTTTTAAATCAGTAATGGCTGCCTCTTTCTTGGACTATGCCCAGGTTCATGTGTGACATTTAAAGGAAATTCCCATTCTTTGTTATGTTGTTCATCAATTGTAAATTCATTAAAACAAAGTAAACATTTTTCTGGTATTAGCTGTCAGCCTAGATCCATCTGACATCAGAAATACTGTATACTTTGCTCCACATTCTCTCCTGAATCTGGCATGAATTTCTAGCAGTTCCCTGTTGGTGTACAGCAGCAACCCATTTTGAACAAAACCTTACTTGTATATGATATTTGGTAATTTTCCTATTCTGTTGGATCACCTTTCTTTGAGTGGGCACAAATGCAGGTCTCTATCAATTGGTTGGCCTAATCTAGGAACAGTTAGTTCTTAGGACATGGCCCTACTCAGCACTTGGCCTCATGGAGAGACCACTGAGGACAGAGTGCTAAACAAAGTGTGGTGAGGAAACATATGGTCCACAACCATCCAAAAGAACAGCGTCTGGATCCGTAAAATCTTGACTTCCAGAAGCAGCCATCTAAGAGAGGTGTCAACTAAGCCCACATGGAAGAAGCACACCAGCCTGTATGATGATCTAAGGAATGTAAATAATAAAATCAAAATCTGGAGGAGGAAAAAAAAAACTTAAATTGTGAAAACCTAGTTTGCAGAAGGTCATGGATGATAATAGATGCCAAAATTCCTTTTGTAGGGTGTCCCACATGGATTAAGCCTCTAATGTATCCCTTCTGGCCATAGTTAAGGATGTGAATAGCCTTGCTATAAGATAGCCTTGTAAAATCAATTATGGCATATGTAGTTAGGTTAAAATGTAACACACTATAGTAATATCATTTGATCTCCCTTTTGACTTTTTAACATTTTTTTTACATTTTGTGCTTTCTTTTCAACTGAGGTTTTACTCTGTTTTATGCTGTTGGGAGTTTTTTGTTTGTTTCCAGGATAAGTAAATCTATAGAGATGATAAATGGATTAATAATTACCTAGGGGCATGGAAGGGAGGGTTGGGGGAAAATGGGGAGCTAACAGTGAGTTTGGGAAAGAAAAAAAATGTTCTAAAATTGATAGTCGTGATGATTGCACAACTCTCCTTAATATAATAAAACTATTGAACTCTATGATATATGAATTATCTGCCAACAAACCATTTTTTCCCAGTTGGAAATAGCAATAGCCCATGATTCTGCCATCTAACTACTATTTATATAGCTTAGAGAAATAGGCGCTGTGAAACAAATACACACACACACGTTTATGGAAGCATAATTAATAATAACCCCCAAAATGGAAACAACTTAAACCTAAGTGCTCATGAACAGATGAATGGATAAATGGATAAACAAACTATGATGCATAACACACAATGGAATACTGTGCTATATTTAAAAATAATCCACAAAACACCTGACAACCTAGAATAACCTAGAGGATATTATGCGTTTGTATGAAAAGTCTGGAAAAAGTTTATACACAGCAAGAACCAGTCTTTGATGAGAATCTGGGAAGGGAGAGAGAAGGAGAGAGAAGGAATGTACTAACTCTGGTGAAGGGAAGGGCAAAACACTGTAAAGGGAAGATCAGCGCAACATGACCCAATCAAAGGAAGATAGTAGGAGGCAACAAGAGTAAATGGTAGCAATGGCAAATACTATTAACACGCAATTCTGCAGTATAATTATGTGCCAGTAAATACTAGCCATATACGTGCAACCAGAATAAATGTGGGATGGCATATGGGAGTGCAGTGGTTTGGTAGGGGACATGAGGCTGTTTTAACAAAATGCATGAAATAATTATTTCACAAAGAAATATTCTGACTACCATTTTCTTTGTGAAATAATTATTTCATGCATTTTGTTGTTATTGTTGTGAAGAAATAACTCTGTACCAATATCCTGTCAAAACTGGGACTACAGAATTACACTGTTATTGGTTAATGAAAAATTGGTATGCATGTGTGCCCAAAGCACTTTATTCATGCATGCTCACTGCCTCACACATGCGGGTATGGGAGTGTTTCATATTTGTCCAGTTTCTTCAGGTTAGGGATTGCTTCTTACTCATAGATGTAACTGAAGCTCTAATACCTGATATACTGCCTCACACATAGTTAGTACCCAATTGATTGATTCACCAAATCTTTGAAACTGATAATAGCTATGAGGGCAAAGAGCAAAACTCACTGCCAGGAAGAATTGGGGAGGTTTGAGAAGAACCAAGTTATTTCATACCAGAAAAGTCTGACTTTCCTAACAAGAAAAGTGGAAAGGACATGTCAATGTACAGTCACCAACAAGCCTAATATACCTAGGGAACAGCCTGGTGTGGGTGTGAGAAAGGGTTGTGACCAGAGCAGGGGAGGAAGAGGAAGAGAGTTGTGGGAAACTCCGTGGCTAAGAACGAGTTGAAGGGTTTTGTTCTTTCATACTATTTGAACTTCATTTTTGGACACTGGGGACTTATGTAGGGTTTAATCAGTGGAGTGACATGTTCGGAGTTATGTTTGGAGAAGAGAATACCGCTAAAGCTGCAACAGATGGATTGGAAAAATGCAAGACTTTTAAGTAGAGAGGTTTGCTGAGCTTTTGAATATGTGAATTTGAAGGTATCAGAACCAGGGTAAGAGAACAGACTGGAAGGTTGGGACTCACTTCAACTTTTCTTAGTTGAAGGCACGGTATAGGTTGAGATCTACAATTGAGACTAGAACAAGAAGAAAAAAATATAATGGAACCTTGGAGAGAGCAGAAACCAAGGTGGAAAACTAAAGAAGAAGCAGAATTTAAAACAAAAGGAGAGATTTTAGGAAAGAATAAGAGGAGCGATAAGCGGCTTTAAGTACTTTGATGATGTTTAATTGTACCAACTTGGAAATGAGACCTTTAAATTGACCAGGACCAAGAGTTCTAATTCTTGTTGTTTATGGTTATTCTAGTTTCTCTGTTGTAGTTTAAATTCTTCAAGAGAAGAAAGCAAACATCAGTGTTCATTTTTCTCACCTGTCTGAAAATTAATTAGGAAATGGTGAATCACATCTCACAGTAGTCTGGGAGTGTCACAAAAATAAGAAAATAGAGTGTTTGTAATAGGTTACTCTTAATACAAATTATTTGGGAAATTTATGCATGTATAGAAACCAACTTGTGTATCAAAGACCACAATTTCAGACTGAGATAACATTATAAGTAGTGTTACTTCAAATATGTACATTTGCCGTTGATATTTTAAATTCAGTATTCTAGTGATATGTTTTGTTTTGTTTTGTTTTTTGCATAGGCTGGCACCTGTGTTTGCTCTCTTTGTCCCATTTTACTGCTCCATACCAAGAGTCCAAGTTGCACAGATAATGGGCCAGTTTTCCATCACAAACAAGACATTGATTTATATATTGGGACTACAGGTATAGTATGCATTTTCTATGTTCACATTTCTTGAACCAGATTTTTTTTTCCCTTCACCTTTTGGTCTTGTTCTCATTTGATCTCCTGAAAACAATGTGTTTCCCATTAAGTTTGGCTTCATGATCTATATCAGATGTTCAAAGTATGTGTTATAGAACAAGAACATCAAGGTGTATCAGGTACTAGAACGCTTTCATAATCTTTAGAAATCTGATAAGAGCTTTCACTGTAATTTGAATCAGTGGAAAATATTTAAATTTCATTGTAGAATTGTAAATTGAGTACTTTTTTAAAATCATAATATGAAGTGGAAACTAATGAGAAGGATCAAATGTTGAACGTGGAAAATCAGTGTCAACTTATTTAATCGACTATTCTCTAAAAAAGAAATCAATCTGCATTTCTGAACTGAACTTACCGTATATACTTGAGTATAAGCCAAGTTTTTTCAGCACATTTTTACTGCAGTTTTTGTGGTAAAATTATGTGCCTCGGCTGATATTTGGGTCAGCTTATATTCAAGCATATATGGTAATTTGTTTTTTTTTTCCTAAATGAAATGCTATCAATTTCATAACTGTCATATAAATATGGTGGCATTCTCACCATTTGCTAAATGGTTCAATAAGAAGACCTTTTGAGTACTTATTGCCTGACTTCGTTTAAAAGGTTATCTTCACAATCTTTAATTGCCTGCTGTGTTCCAGGCCCTATGATAGAAGACACATAAGATTTCCAATTTCCCACCTCTAATACTTGTCGCTTCTTTAACTCCCATAGCTTCTCATGTCAAGTTTTATCCCCCTGCTTCCTGTGACACCATGTATAGCTTGGCCTTTCGATCCACTGATTAGTGCTCATAGCATTCTTATCCCACACATGTCAAACCGGATCCTGGTGTCATTTTAAAATGCCCTTCTCTCTCCCCTTTTGACCTTTCACATTTCCTCTAACTTATGTAGTTTGCTGTCATATGTTATCACTGGCTCATCTGGGGTGAGTGTTTCCTTACCACTTTTGCAACCATTTCTCATGAATTGTTTTCTTCATCTCCCAACGTCGTGTTTATACACTCTCTCATCTCCTTCCTAATATTCATTTCACTTAATAGCCCATTTCTACATTTTATTCTTATTACGAGGATCTTCTCTGACAGGTTAGCCTGTTTTAGAGATGTTAGAACAGAAAACAGAATATAGTAGTCGAATACCCTGGAGTTGGAGCGGGAGCCCTAAGTACTAGTTGTAGCGAGATAACTCAGTAACTGGGAGTTATCTTGGATCAAGTCAGGTGATACCTCTGAGCCTCGTGTTGAATTTATACAGTTCTTTCCAACCCACAAGTTACATCAGATCTTTGAGAGGACAGAGCATTGTTTTGGTAATGGTGGAGTAGGAACCCCGTGTGACGTAGTAGAAAGGATTAGGAGCCATATGAACTTGGGTTCGATTACTTGCGCTGGTAATTATTAGATTTGTCACTTGGCTTTTCTGTATCTTTATTTCACCATCTGTATAACGGGGAGAATAGTTTCTACAGTACAGTTTTGTTTGAAGAATTAGAGATAATATTGCTTGATAGTGTAATCTAAATGGATAATAACTTTAAGTTTAAAGAGTTAAGTTAGTTGATTAATTTGCTTATCTACCATTGGTTTTTTTGGGATTAGGAATGTTTTCTTTTTTATATGTTTTTCAAATTCTTATGGAAAAGATCCTAATTAGCTAGAAACTGCTAGTGTTATTTCAGCAGTAGTATGCAACTTGCAGTGAATAAAAGTATCCTTTTATCCCTGCCACACCACAAATATGTAGATGGATTTACCACAGACATTTCCCCAAAAGGTGTATCTCTTAAGATTTTCATAAGATTTTCAGTAAATTTATGAGAAGTTTATCTCCGTAAATAGGAGTACAAATGCCTCCGTAGCTTCTTGATAGAATCTAAAGTCCTTAGTATGAACGATGTTGAAGGCACCGAACCCCTTATGCCTAAAATTACTATTCTGAACCTTCACTCAGGTCTCCTTATGCTTTTTTCTCTTCCTATGAGAGCTTTGTGAAGGCCAGGTCATGGTGGATGGATGGCAGTAATCACTGTAAAAAAAGCAAAACTATCTGTTGAGTGTCATTTAGCCCTAGTCACATACTAGCACTCTATGCTAGGTGCTCCATCGCATACAACGGCTCATCAGCGGGGATGCCTATCCTCAAGGAGCTCCGCAGCTGGCAGGAAGTGTACACACGGTCAAAGCATAAACAAGCATGATTACAACCAAACATGCAACAAGATGAGAGGCATAAGAGTTCAAAGGAATAATTTTTTATTGATAAAATGATTTCACTTAAGTTGTACATGACACATATATCTTAGACTGGAGAGATTATAAGCAGAGCATAGAGCTGTGAACCAACTGATCACCTGGATACAACTCCCAGCTCCATCCTTTAATAACTTTTTGACCTGGGACAGACGACCTAACCTATACTTTTTTCACCTGTAAAATAGAGATAAGAATAGAACTTACCTCATTCAGTGATGAGGCTTCATTGAGTTTAGTATATGAAAAGCATGAAGATCAGTACTTGGGATTTGCTGGGTGCTCTGGAAGTGTTAGCTGTTGTTAGTGTTTCTTACATGTTTAGATGAAAAATATCATGTACTATTTTTTCACATAATTCTCATCCATGTTAATATCAGAGGCATCTACACCAAGCAAGATCCATGTTGGATTGAAGGGTTCAATTAAAGTCGCAGCCCCTGCTCAGGTCCAGGTGATGTAGCTCTAGGGCAAGACCTATCAAGCTTCTAACCTGTATTTTATTCTCTCTCGCTGTTTCTGTCTGTCTGCCCTGTTTTCATAGCCAAGAGTGCCCTCTTTGAGGCTTCCTCTAGCACAACGTGCCATCTTGGTTTTTCTGCAATCAGAAGTACTAAATTCCCAACCAAAAATCTAAACATTAACAGCAGGCAAAATAATCTTTGCTGTCTTGTAGAACCTATTTTGGGACAGATTCATGAGATCTAATTCTAATTACTTTTGCAATTAACTAACTGTTATTGTTGCTGGCAATAACAGTAAAAGAGAGTTTTCTCTTTTGGGGGTGAACTGGAATGAGAATATCAATGTTTAAGGCAAGTAGTATTGGACATGAACCTATATGCTTGCAGAACTCTTCCATCTAAATTTAGAGTGAAAACCCTAAATCATGAAAATAAGATTCATACTGTGTGTCATTACCTAAGACTAAGCATGTGAAGGCAACTACATGATTTGTATGATAATGCTAATAATTTCTTTAGATATAGTATTTTACATTAAATCACTTGATGCCTACATCTAATTGAGAATATGCTTGAATTTTACTTATTTTTATTTTCATAGACTTAGACTGTGCTGTATCAGTCTTCGTTAGGCTTTTAGATTGAAGTTTGGATGAGCAAAAGAGCAAAAAGAAAACTAAATTAATGCTTTTTTATTAGCAGTGTTGCTATTTATTTTTTATCTGTACTATGTCATATATAAATAATACTTAATGTAAATCATTATGGTTATACTATGACTAAGAATTTCTTTTTTAGTTGCCTTTTTTTTTTCTTTTATAGCTTTTCACCTCTGGTTCCTACATCTGGATTATAGCCATAAGTGGACTTGTAAGTCTGATCTCCCTGCCTCACAAATCTGTATCTCTTTTGAAACAAAACCATTAGGGAATTTAGATTAGAGAACATATTCAACTGCCTGCAATTTCACTGTTAGTTATTGAGTTAGTGTTACTTCATGGATGAGTGTAAAGAGAGCGATTCCATGGCTAATTGAGATGAAGGAGGTCCAGTGTGCTTCATTTGTTAAGGTAATGTTGATGAGCGTGTTAACTGAATTTTTGTCAGTGTTATCCTTTTGGAATTTCATTTATAGGAAAAACTGACAGGAAAAAAAAGTCAGAGCTACTGAAAATAATGGGAAATGTTCTGCTTGTTTTGTAAAAAGACATTGTCGGGAGAGGGGAGGGGGTCAAAAGCAGGCTAACTGGAAAATCAGCTGGTTAGAGCTGACAGAAGACTCATCAGAGTCTGTGGCCAGAGGAGGGAGAAGAGAATGAGCTGAAGCACTGGGCCAGTTCCTCCTCCTGTGTGCTGTAATTACTCCCTCCCTCATTCCCAGCCACTTTTGTTGTTTGGCTTTGTTTTAATAACAAACATTAGTCTTAGGCTTTCTATGAATGAAGTATTTGAAAAGAAAATTTAGAGCGTCCATCAAGCTTTTGTAAAAATAAACTTACAATCTATAACATAGAACACTTGCAATATTAGCCTTATAAATATATATTTATTACTAGTAAGTGAATATGGGGTATAGTTTTTCATTTCTTTCTTGTAAGTAACTAAATTTACACACTGGATAAGATTAGGGGGGAGGGAGATTAAAAAAAAGATCAAAGGAAAGGGATTTGGAAATAATGATTTATTCCACTGCAGACATTTTAAGGAAGTTAAGACACACTTGAATCTTGCTTCCTGCGCTTTTTATTAATCTAGTGCTGTTATAGCATATACCACAAATGGATGACTTTAACAGACTATAAAGTATTCTCTCACAGTTTAGGAGGCTGGAAGTCCAAATTCAGGGCAACACCTCTAGGGGAAGGCTCTGTCGCTCTGAAGGAAGGTTCTTGTCACCTTTCAACATGTGTTAACTTGGCTGTCCCTGGGAAATCAGTGTTCCCTTGGGCCTGGCAAGTTCAGACAGAACACAAGGACCCCGAGTCCAGATAACACACTCTCACTCGATTCTTCATTCTTACTATTACTGAGGTCCCTCTGTTCTCGCTTACTTGTTTAATTTCTTTTATATCTTAAAAAAAAAAGATTGACTCAAGATGAAATCTGGTCCTGCTAAATTATCTCCTGCTTCATTAACATAACTACCACTGATCCTGCCTTGTTAACATCATAGAGGTTAGGATTTACAGCATATAAGATAATTACATCAGATGACAAAATGGAAAGTAATTACCCAATACTGAGAATCATGACCTAGCCAATTCGACAAAAATTTTTTGCTAGGTGAAGGGGCGGGGGCAACGATG